TATTATTTAGAAACTAACACAATCTATTCATTTATATCCAAATGTTTATTTAATAACATCCATAATATAGTACATTGAACTTACACAAATAAAAAGTAAAACATTTAGAAGCTGTTTTGAGAATACAGGACATATCTATAGAAAACAAAATATAAACACAAAAGTCAACAAATTAGGTGGTGACAATCATTACTATTTAAAACTCGTTTTATAGTTTACTGATTCTAATTAGGTTAATTACATCATGGAATGATTCATATTTTTCTGCTATAACTTTGTATAATTTTTACAGCAAGTAGAATGTTCTTAGATCTCACCAACAAGTAATTTTTTGCTCATGTTTCTCTGTAGTGGGTGCTTATTCTCCAGGGTGGACTGGAGACCTGGCAGTGGCCGGGCTCATCACAGGACAGACACTCAGGACACCCTGATCCAGAAGGTGATTTGAAGGAGAAAAAAATGGGCACAGTGGCTCCTCAGCAGAAACTCCAGTGAATGTAAAAATATGGGATCCATCTTCAACATGGAAAAATGAAATGTTTCCCATGCCCATATCCAGGAAAATCCCCACAACCTGTAACTTAAGGTCCACACAGAGAGCAGTTGGAGGCTTTGTGCTGGCAAAGAAATNACAACCTGTAACTTAAGGTCCACACAGAGAGCAGTTGGAGGCTTTGTGCTGGCAAAGAAATAGTGCCCACCCCTCAAACTCACAGTCCAGAATCCACTCTCTGGAGACATTTCCATCAGTCCTTGTCGGGGAACAGATTCTCTGCAAACTCCCAGGTCCCATGCTGTGCTTTTTCCCACGTCCACCTCCCAGTAATGGCGGCCAGAGGAGAAGCGAGGGGAGCCCAGGACACAGATTCCAGCGTCAAACCTCTGAGGGAGCAATTGCCGATTCTGTCTGATGTGCCCACGTCGGACCCTCCTGAGGTCATTGGAAATAAGAAGGCGGTTGTTGGCCGTGTCAACATCCAAGGTCACCTCCACTGAGAAAAGAAAAACAAATAGCTTAACAAATGGACAGGATATAGGCACATCCTGGATGAAAGGATATTTTTTATAGTACATGTGAGGTGAGGTTTTAAGATAAACAATGGTGATTGGCTCAAACTTAAGAGACGAGAGGAAGGTATTTCAAAGTTATTGGTCATAATTGACTGCAGAGAATAAGGGCGGCATGAACGAGCATCTCAAGGCACTGGGTACGTGGTTCAAAGGTGGAGCTGCCCATTCTAATGAGTCACCGTGATGAAGGAAGGGGTGCATCTGGCCTAGAGAAAAGACTTGTCTGGAGCAAATGAAAAAAAATATCTACAGAGCCTACTACTCTTGAAGTTAAAAGATGAATTCACGTGATCGCCAGTGTGGGTTTTGTAGGTTGAAATAAGGCGTCAGGTGATCAGGTGATCGATCTCTGACAGTGAATTCCTGGATGAAATAAGATGCGTGACCACTTACAAGACAGGAGTAAGAGTGTTGCACAGATGACTAGGACAGAGAGAACCTGTGCTCCCGATTTCATGCAGAGGGTCAGGTATCGGTCACTGTATGAGTAGGGTCATGAGTATCAGGGAAGAGACTGTGTAGAAGCCAGTGGTGTCAGGGACATCATGGGAACCCAACATTGTTTCTAGGTGCAATTTTTTGCACAGGCCAACCATAATCTCTTCATTTAAATGTCCCTTATCTCCAGAGTTACACAGTCTGATAGTATTTTCTGTAGCCAAGGACACTGTAGAAGCCCGTGGTGCACAGACAAGGAGACCAAAGTCTGCAACTCACCCTACACCTGTGGGAAAAACCACCACAGGTGCTCAATAACAAACGCTTCCATCCCTGCTGTAAGGTCATTTAGTGCAGTGAGTGTCAATATTCACTGCACAGTAGAATTATCTGCGGGATTTGTTCCAGATTCCTGAGCATCTCAGCCAGAGAGAGATTCAGATTCAGTTACTCTAAGTCTTCGTTACTCTAAGTGTGGTCCCCAGGCCAGCACTATCAGCAATCCTGAAATCTCCCTGTTCAAAATCTGCATTCTAACAACCCCAGGTAATTAGAGCACACTATTTTGAGAATCTCCTGTCTACACCAAGACATAGACACCAGTATTTTTTGTTAAAGATTACTCAGTGATTTTATGTGTTGTCAGTGCTGAGAACCACTGCCACTGAGGAGCATAACAATCTTAGGTGCCAGACATCAGCTGATCCCCATAGGGAATGGAGAGCTGATTGCACAGGTGACTTTCCCTGGTCCTGTAGTGGGAAGGGGGCAGGGCGTACAGGTCCCTTACCTTGGAACTTCTGCATCCTTGGGTTCATCTGTAGAACAGCTTTCAGATGGGGCTCCAGCTCCTTGATACTGGACACCAGCTGCCCCAGCTGCCGATTGGGCCTGATGTCATTCTTGAGAGAAATCACCCAACAGAAGGGGCACAATAAACCCTCCACACGGGGCACCTTCTGCAGTGCATTGATGCAGTCGAGGCAGATGCTGCATTCACATTTCAGGTGCACTGGCTTTTCAAGGTAGGCTGAGCAGATAGGACATCTGCTTACTGCAATTAAGGGTTCACTCATGTTCACTGCCAGGGAGAAAATGCACATGGAAGTAAATTTTCGTGATTTGAAAGACTATTAGTTGTGACAAGTAACAACCTTTACATGCACAGAGTTATCGTGTTGCAATTCTGTCATCCCTAGGATAAGACCACGAGACTGCACATACTAAATCCCACGCTCCCTGTCTTCAGAGATTTTAAGTTCTATTTGAAAAAAATCACGTATTGTCATTGTGCTTTGAACTGAGGTGGAGGGTGGATCCATGCTCATGGGGACCCTGTGTCAACAGATGTGCCTGGACACATTCCATGGCAACATCGGTGTGAGAATCAGTGAAAGTGGTGGCATTTCACCATCTCCTAGAGTAACCCAAGCAATAAATTGCTTTATGAACATAGGAAATGCATCCTTTCTGCAGCCTTGGAGCTCAGTGTCAAGTTTACAGCCTGCCACTCCTAGAGTGGGGGGGATCCAGTGTGTGATTTTCAAACACTGCACCAGCACTCAACAGCATTTGTTGAATCAATTACTAAATTCCTCTCATCCCTCTATGTCACAGCTGCCATTTCTAGACATCTGAGAAGGAAAAACAGAAAAAACAGAGTGGACTCACCTCTTCTGTGCTGGAACCTCTCTACCCTCCAGCTGCATCCACCAGTAGCTCAGGTCTGTGGGAAAGACACATGCACAGGCCTTTTATTGGCCAGTTTCCCTCCCCTCCCTACTCACACCCTGTCCCTCCCTAGTCACACCCTGTCCCTCCCTAGTCATACCCTGTCCCACCTCTGTAACCTAATCACATTCTGAGTTAATTATAGCAGAGAATGAGATTTTTATTGGTGATGTATCTCCAACTCATAGTAACCTTTCTAAATCCTTAATTCCAACAGTATATTATTCCTTAATATAAAGACAGGATTAAATTGCCATTGCTTTATATTGGATTAGGTCTAACATATTAATTTCACAAGCTTATTTTAGAGTTTTTTCCATCATTTGTGAGCAGCAGTGATTCCGCTGATGTGTATTATACACCTAAAGCTTTGCTTATAAATATAAACAGACTATTCAGTATGATTGCATTTGCAATTTTATAAAACGGTTTAACTTCATATGCAAGGATACTTCAAAAAGTTTCTAAAAAAATGGAATTAAAAGATAATGTGAATCTTTCCATGAACTTTTTGAAAAACTCTTGTACATCAGAATCAAAGGTGAAATGTATGGGCATCCCATTTAAAACATTTTAGGTAGTTTTCATTTACTTTCATTTGCTTATCTCTGGTTCAAAAAATTTTTGATAATTCATAAAAATTTTAAATTGTGAAAAATGACCATTAAACTCTTCATTGGTTTTTAAGTACTTTACAGAGGGTTAGGATACAAGCCACAGTCAAAGAACAGGGAACGTTTTCTCGCAGCTCTCCTGTCCTCACTTAGAAATTAACATCCATGTGTACTGAACTTTCTTTCATTTGAATCAACCTGGGATCCTCTCCCTTTAATTCCCTTGTGTGTACTGGGATCTTTACAGCTTCATTTTAAAATTACAAATAAATCGAATATAATCTTACTATTTTCTCTATCTCATAATTTATCACATATTAAACGAGTTTCCTCTTTCTGCAAACTTTTTTTTTAAGACCTAATTTTGTTCACTTTAATATGATTCCTCATGGCCTTAGATGACTCAGAGAAACTAGGGTCTTAAGTGAAATAAATGATGAGTTAACAGACGTCATGGAAGAGGCTAGATGAATTTAAGTGATTAAATTACTTTTTACTTAATTTATAAAATAACAGCTTTATTTCAAAATTTCAAATAACTTGAATATAATGTTACTATTTACTCCATTTGAAAACATATCACATATTTAATAATATTCTTTCTTTGTACTTCATATATTTTTCAATGACCTAATTTTGGTCCTATTGAAACATGATTTATACCGGGATTAGATGATTCCTAAGGATTCAGTGTCTGAGCAGTGAGAATAAAGACTCAGGATATACAGTGTAAGAGGCCAGGTTAACTTTAAGTGATTGGGTTAAATTACATTTTATTTACAACATGATCATTTGGAGTTTACGTTTTGCTGGATTCTCTAATTATTCCATAACCAAAGGTAAAGACTGAGTCCAGCCCTCATGTATTCTCTAATTAAGAAAAACTGAAAAAAAAAAAGACACAACTCAAACTAAAAATTGTGAACAGTGTTCTGTGAAATAGGTGTTCAATTTCTTACGAAAAAGCAGAAGATGGAGGAAATAATATATCCTGAGGTACAAAGAAAAGTTCACCTAGGCAACTACTGAGCTGGGCTTTGAGTTTCAGTGGAATATTCTCAGCCAAACAGACTCATCTCTGGGCAGGAAGGAGGGCACGTGCATGTTACAGGAGACATGAAACACTGAGGCTGTTTATTAATCCTATAAATTTACTTTGTAGGAAATTCAGGAACCTGAAGACCGTGTTAATGGGCAAATTCACAAGATTTCGCTAAGTGTCAAGGACTCAGCATTGTGTAACCTGTGGTGTGATGTGAGTATTCGTCAACAGGACTCCCAGCAGTGGGGTGGTGAGAATGTTGTGTTTCAGATGGGGCTGGAAGGAACCCCCAGGATTAAGACAACCACGGTATGGGGAAAATGAGAGAGTAAGGAGCTGACGCCTTGGAGCAATGATTGGGTGGAGCTGGCAGCTGTCACGTGCTTGCAATGGATCCACAAAGCAGAAAGTGCAGGGAGAGGACAGCCCCACTTGAGGGGTCTGGCCAGGCAGCAGCTTGACCAGGGCAGGGCAGACTCCAGCTATGGAAGGAGAGGGTGGGACCTTCTGCGAATTGGGTCAAACACAGGATTTGTGGGTGAATGTCCAAGATTCTACAGCACCCAGTGAGGGTTGATGGGGGTCCAGGGGTGAGGAGCTGTCTCACCTGCTCAGAGCCGGAGGGAGCTACAGGTGTGTCTGGGCTCTAATATGGGCATCAGGAGCAAGAGGCATGGAAGACTAGGTGTGCCAAGATTGCAGATTTTGCTTAGTATGTTATCTAACTAATTTTGTAAATGATGGGATATTACATACAGTTATTAAGAAACAAAATTTCCAAATTATATTACATTTTTACACAATATTGAACTTCAAGTTAAAAAAAATAGGACTTCAGATGAAGATGGCAGAATAGGCAGTACCCAATGTCACCCTCTCCCACAATCAACCAATTTACAACTATTTAAAATCAAGGACTGTCAAGCTGGAGCTGCTAGAGCTCAGGGGAAGAGGAAGAGAGACTTACCGAGTGCATGTGTTGCTTTGCCTCACACTGGGTGATGGAGATGCAAAAAGGATTACTCAAAGCCCATTTCTTCTGAGCAGTGAGACACCCCAAGGGGTTAATTTCCTGGAACCCTCAAGAGAGAGGCATTTCTCCTTTGGGAAATTAACCCTGAACTGGGGTTCTGTCTCAGTATTTATTCTCCAGGCCAGAAAGTTACAGAAAAGGAACATAAGTGGAGTTATGGCTAAGTATAGTTTAACAATGGAGGCTGATAACATCAGTGAAATAACAAAGTGACATTCCATAACTTAATTTGCAAAAGGTTAAGTCAATCCACCAACAAAAGCTTGTTCTTAGCAAATACTGTTTTTCCCTACATCAATTTCTCCAGTATTTTTACATATCAATCAGTAGGTTAACCAAGGACATCTGTCCTTGAGCCAGCAATTTTGCTGTGTTACAATTCTTTATCTATAACAGAGACTTTAGCCTGAGGAAAGTTTCCTGTCTTTTGCAAGGTTAACATTTCTACATGTAATTTTTAAAAGTTAGGTTATGTCTGAAACTACAGGGCTTTGGAAACTAGGCCCTGTGAATACATTTGCCTTATAAATGTTAGTATACTCCACATGCATGAAGGTAGGAGAAGCCACAATGAGAGAAATAAAGGACTGCTTTGACTGTTTGGAGCCCCAACCACTTCAAGGCTGGAGATGCTGAGCACAGGAGCAAGAGCTGTCAAAAACCACTACTGTGCCCTACTTATGAAGTTGCTTGAAGGCTGCAAGGGAGAAGAGGGCCTTGGTGATCCCCAGGCCAGCAAGACCACTAACAGTGTTCCCATGGACCCACATAGGAGTGAGGGGCCACAGAAAACTGAAAAAAGGAGCCACTCAGAGGCTGGCTGGTGAATCATTGCAAGGGACCAGCACATGGGTGGCCCCATGAGAAGTGTTTGGAGTTCAGGGGGTGGGGGAGATGGGCCTACCAGGGGAACACTAGGGCACAGCATGGGCATCTGATCTGCCCTCCAGTCAGCACAGGACCTCTCAGTAGAGACTGGTCAGGAGTATAGAACTGCAGGGGGTGCAGTTTGCTGAATGGACTCAAGCCCAGACCAGAGTTTCTACACAACCCACATGTACTGGACCTCATGAAACACAGAAGTACCTACAAAATCAATCATTAAAACCTGAGCTGCACAAAAAGCCTTCTCCAGGGTGAATTGGCAGCAAAGCAGCAATTTAGCTCAACCACAGGGCTTAAGCACTGGTCCCGCAGGAAGTTTCCCCATTTTAGAAGTAAGTGAAGGACAACAAATTGGTTCCAATGCAGAGTTTAAGTGGTGGGAGCAGTGAATAATCCAATACAGAACTGAAAGAAAAACAAAATACCCACAGACCAGAGACAAAGTTTGATATTAACTAGTAAAGGTCTAACACCACCAAAGAATGCCTGTAAAACCTAGCAGGACGGGAGGCCCCCCAGGCTCCTAAGCCTGGGTTGGGGAGGGCTAATGGCCTCAGCCACGCCCCCCAATATCCACATCTAGCCCAGCAATGACCACCGAGCTGCTGCCAGAAGTACCCCTGGCTCCCAAGCCAGGGTAGTGGGGGGCCAAGGGCTGCAGCCACACACCCCTGACATCTGCAACCAGGCCAGCAATGACCACTTAGCTACCACTGGAAGCATCCAGGGCTTCCCTGCTGGAATGAGGAAGGTCCCACCTCCCTCCTTCCTCCTCCTCCCTTCCTCTCCCCCTCCCCC